TTTTTTTGGTTTTTCTCCGGTACCGGGAACCGAACTCACGACCTTGCGCTTGCCAGGCAGGCGCTTTTGCCGCTGAGCTAAATCCCCAGCCCCCTCCCCCAATTTCTTTCTTGGTGGGTTTATTATTGGTGTACAGGAATGCTATTGATCTTTGTGTATTGGTTTTGTATCTTTCCACTTTGCTGAATTTGTTTATTAGTTCTTGGCTCTCCTGACGGATTTGTTTTGGGTCTTCTGCAGTTTCTGAAACAGCTCATCTTGAAGCAGAGTACCTGACTCTGACTTAGGGCCCAATGCAGGACGAAATGGCCTCTCCCAGATCATTAGGATCCCACTCTGAGTGCAGAAGCAGAGAAGCCAAGGGTCAAGCTAATTTTGATTGGGCACCTGCAGCACATTTCTCCAGCTGAAAAATCAGTTGCACAAACATGGTTTGCCCTTTCTCATTTGTGGACAGCTCTGTTCTTATTGCACAACAGAGCAGGCTTTAATTTTTGCCAGGTGCAATGGTGAGTTAATTTTGGAGTGCTGAGTTGAATTCACCGGGGGGATATCTGAGTCCGGTTGATAGGTGGATACATGGATCCAGAACTTGAGGGATACAGGCTGCAAAGAGATTGATTGCACGTTTATGAAAATTCCTACAAAAAGGAGGTCATACACCATGATTCAATCGTAGTTGAATGTAAACATCATAAACAGCTCACAGTGTCTGTTGTATTCGCTGCTCTGTCCCCACTACCTAGATGTGTGACTGGCACGCTTTGTTTCAGAGTGAACTTTAGAAATCAGAATTTGACAAACACTGCACACAGATTTAAATACTTATTTCCTAGATGTGGTAAGGGTGCCCTTTGTTTCAGCGTTTCCAGCCTGGTTAACAATGTATAGTGTAGTTTAGCAAACGCTAGGGGCGAAGCCGGTGCATCCTCAAGACAATTTAAAAAAAAAAAAAGAGGAAGGTGAAAGCCCAGCTGGAAGGAGGCGGGGCCTCCAATCGCTCCGCCCCCAGGGTGTCACAGCCCTTGGCGGTCTGCACAGGCGCAGACTGAGTCTTAAGGGCGCGTTGCACAGCCCCTTGCTTTCACTGAGGGTGGTGTTGCGAGCCAAGGTAAGGATTATGCCTGCCGCGGGTGTCAGCAGGCCCCTTTGGAGGAAAATCACGTGGTCACAAACACTTTTTGGAACTTACCCGGCCGGGTTTTCTACATACCCCTTCATAGCTGAGTCCCCTTTGGGTGGGGCGGAGAGACGTTGTTTTAGACAACTTGGTGGCCAAATACAAAGTAATCTCTTGTCTCCCACCGGGCTTTGTTATAACCCTGAACGTAGTCTGACTGAGGGGACAGTGCAGTCCTGCGGGACAGAGTTAGGGAATGGATGCCGGCCGTCAGAGACCCCCGCGGTCCCCAGGTGTAACGTGCGTCCTTAATCCCCCCAGAGAGTGCGCCTGGCGTCTGCACCCGGACGTGCACTTTGCTCCTCGCCCTGTGTGTTGGTGTCGGGGTGAATCACTAGTGTGTAAAAGTGGGAGCTTATATGCAAATATCTAGATTATTTGCAGAAGTTACAAGATCTGGCAACACGTTCCTGCGGGGTCTCCAGGACCGTTTCCAATCTCCACTTTGCCGCAGCCTTTCTGTTACCCCGCAGACGTCCCTCAGTTACCCTGTGCCTGACCCCTGCTCCGCTTGGGTGGTGTAAGAGTATTTACCAGACAGCTGAGAGTCCCAAACAGCTGGGTGTATGCTTTATGTTTAAAATGTTCCTCATTCCTACTTATTTTATCAAGGTGCTTTTCTTCTGGAAAATATCTCTTCAGTGCAGCCTTGGTAAAGTTGAGTCATCAGTGATACTTATAGAAGAAGGTCTGGGATGTTTGAGTTGATGTCCTTTTATTACAATTAAATTCATAAAGTTTTTTCTTGAAAGGAAAAACGTCTTGATTGCATTGTTTTATGAGACGACAATGTTTTGTTTTGTTTTAAGAAAGCATTTAACGTGTTGCATTAGCTACCCTTGAATTCATTGGTCCAACAGATCCTCGACTCTCAGTCTCCCAAGGAGCTGGGACTACAGGTGCGTGCCACCAAGCCTAACTGAGAGGACGATTTAATGAAATAATGTCGGTATAATTTGTTAACCTCACAAATCCTGACTAGCCTTTATAAAAGTGAAAACCATGTTTGCCTTAATAACTGCTGTATTTCATCAGTAAAATATAAACTTCCTGAAGACAGGGCACTTTCCTTATTTTGGACTTTTACTTTGTTGAAGAATTGCCTTTTATTTTGTTCGACCATTCGCCAAGAGTGCATGCTTGGAGGTTAATGATTTGTTGCATGTATGAAAGAACTTTAAAGGTATACCTTATTTTGCAAGATGTGATTGAAATATATGTTGACTGTTTAACTTTTTAAAAATGTATCACAATAAAAGGCACAATGTCATTAGTTGCCCCCAAATACTTTTCCACATATTGAACACACTTATGACATGGCTCCTTCCTCTTTCTGGAGCAGTTCTGTAACCTCTTTTGTGTCTTTACAAAGTGTAATAAAAAAATATGGTGAATGCTGCTACTGAGTGTCATCCAGTGAAAAGATAGGATGGTAAAAATCTGTGTCCTCTTCTACATTATTCACTCTGCAAGTGGATGACCTATGCTCATCCCCAAAGTCAAAATGACTGTGACAAGTAAACATTTAGAGGCAATTCAGGACATCAAGACAGCCTGAACTGTGTGTCTAGAAATACCGACAAAAGAGGACTTCCAGAACCGCTTCAGAAAGTGGCAAGAATGATGGGATAAATGTATTCAAAGTGAAGGGGATTATTCTGAGAGGGATTAATGACAATGTGTCTTTCACTAAAATAAAATTATTAAAAAATTAAATATTTGGCCAGGTATGGTGGCATATGCCTATAATCTCAGCACTAGGGAGACTGAGGTAGAAGGATTGCCTTGAGTTAAAGGCCAGCCTGGCCTACGTAGTGAGTTCAGGGCCAACCTGAACTGCGTGGTAAGAGCCTGCCTCAAAAATAACAAAAAATCAACATATACAAACACATATTCACAAATTCACTGTAGTTTTTGATCATACCACAGCTCTAACAGGCATTCCTGAAGATTCTCTCAAGATGAAATGCTTGGAGACCTCACCTACTTTTCACTTATGGTACTGGGTGTTGAACCTAGGGCCGCCATACTTTACTACATCCCTGAACTGGTATTTTTTGGTTTTGAAACAGGATCTTGCTGAGTTGCTGAATTCCCTAGGGTGGGCTCACATTTGTGATCCTCCTGCCTCAGCTACCCAGAGTTCTAGGCTTATAGGCAAGTGCCTGGCCTCTTGTATATATTTGTTACATTTTTTTCCCCAGTGCTGGGGATCAACTCAGCCCTTGCACACACTAGGCAAACTCCCAACCACTGAACCGCATACTCAGGCCTGCTTGTATGTTTGTTGTTCTAAGTTGTTAAAAGGATTTCATTATGAAAGGACACCAAAGCTTTTATCCGAGTTTGTACTTGTGAGTTGTCAGACACAGAGCTTACACTAGAATATTTTTTTATTATGTGGTAGGATGTGGAAATGTGGCTTAAACTTGGAATTTTCAGTATTGCTTTTGTTTTTAGAGATCCAGAGATCCTGGTGGGGATCAAGTGAGAGACAGACCCAAGTTCTTTTTCCAGCGAGGAGCAGCCTTACTCTCAGTGCTTCTGACAGGCCTGAGCTTTGGGAAAGGACTGATGGCTTCCAGCATAGGTTGGAAATGCACGGGCTTCCTGAAGGCTGTAACAAGTGGTAGCTTCTTCTTGTCTACCTGGGGCCAGTTTCCCCGGAGAGGAATGGGAAGCGTTCTGGACCCTGCGATGAGAGCCTACCTGGAGGAGAACACCGAGGTCACTAGCAGTGGCAGCCTCACTCCTGAAATCCGGTTGCGGCTTTTGACCCCCAGATGCAAGTTCTGGTGGGAGAGAGCTGACCTGTGGCCCCATGGTGACCCTTACTGGGCGATCTACTGGCCAGGAGGCCAGGCCCTATCTAGGTATTATCCTATTGAGTTGCAAACCTTTAAGGCTGTCATAGATCCTTTTCTCCTTTTAGCATCTCCAGCTTGCTTTCTCCGGCCTCACAAAACAGCGAAACCCCAAAGTCATGGAGACCTGCGCAGACCCCACACTGTCTATGGTTTGGGCGCCATCTGCCCACAGGCCAAAGGGGAAGACTAAGTAGGCTTCCCCTCCAGAAAAGCTGCCTAAATACAGTAAGCACAGTTTCACAGGTGGCTGAGGCAGGGGGATTGTAAGTTTGAGGTGAGCCTGGGCAACTCAGTAAGATTCTGTCTCAAAATTGAAAAAGGGCCTGGGGATGTATCTCAGCATTTAGTACAGCACTTGCCTAGAAAGGAAAGACTTGGGTTTAATCTCTAGTTCTGCAAAAATGAAATTTTAACACCCCCCCCCCTAGTCTTCTAATTCCCTCCCCTCCCTTTCCCTCACTATACTAGGGATTGAACCCAGGGCATTTATATCAAGCTATGTCCTCAGCCTCTTTTTCAATTTTGAGACAAGGTCTTGCAGAGTTGTCCAGGCTGGCCTCAAACCTATGATCCTCCTGCTTCCTCCTCCCAGAGTGCTGGGATTGCAGGTGCACACCACTGTGCCCAGTTTGTTTTCTTTTTTAGAGAAGTTTAGCCACATTTTTTTTACTTTGTTGCATAGTTTCACCTCCCTACCCAAGTTTATCAATACATTTCCCCAAATATAGCTCCCTCCCTGGGAGAAATTGTTAAGCCAGCTCTCAAAATGTCAGACAGCTATGAAAGATCCAGAAGTCACGCACTGCGCTTAGGACTTGGGGTACGGCCAACACTGTGTTCCCAGACGGCACCTACAAACCCACCCCTTCTGCCATCCTACTTTAGTCCTGTGATTGTCACCCTCCCCCGAGAGCTGCCTCTTCTCCATGGAATGAGAAGTGTGAGTAGGGCCACTCAAGGCTTCCCTCTTCTCTAGTGGGCAATTTAGTGAGGCCCTGTCTCAAAACAACAATGAAAGGCTGGGGATGTAAGCTCAGTGGCAGAGTGTCCCCAGGTTTCATCCAGAATACGGCCAAACAAACAACCAAGGAAACAAAAACACAAACAAACCAAGGGGGGGAAATCAGTCTGTGAATCACAATCAAAAGGAGATTTTGGATGTAGTTTACTTAGTTCTGATTGTAACAGTATTTTAACAAACCAAGAGGGGGAAATCAGTCTGTGAATCAAAATCAAAAGTAGTTTTGGATGTAGTTTACTTAGTTCTGATTGTAGCAGTATTTTTCAGTCTTAGTTCTGGTGTTTAATAGTTTCTGGGCTATGGTTTGAATGCCCAGTACTTTTTATTTTTGGTTTTGGGGCTCACACCAAGGACTTTGTGCATACTAATCAAGTCCTCAATCACTGAGCTACACATCCAGCCCTATTGTTTTGTTTTTTGAGATTGTCGTGAAGCCAGGTACGTTGGCACAGGCGTATAATCTCAGCACTCTGAGAAGCTGAGCCAGGAAGATTGAAAGTTCAAGCTTACCCTGGGCAATATAGTCACTTAGCAAGACCATATCTCAAAAAAAAAAAAAAAAAAGGGGGGATGATATAGCCAGTGCAAATATCCTGAGTTCAGTCCTTACTACTACAAAACAAACAACAAACAAGCCCAAAAGTTAATTTGAAGCACATGATTCTTAAGCAAATGCTTTTTCAGCTGCTGAACAGAATGGCAAGTTTCTCTTCCTTGGCACTTGTGCTATGCTTGAAAGAGTGGCATTTGTTTTACTGTGGTGCAGGTCAAATTTGCAAATTGAGATCACATTCTTCTGCCAAATCCTATTTCTTTGCCCCCTCAGTCCGCAGATATATATATATATATATATATTGATACCCCTTACTGACCTTTTCTAGCTCTCTGAAGTGTGTCCTGTCCTTTCTTTCCAATTTAGGTATCTTTTGGATAATCCAGATGTTGTCAAGGGAAAGTCTGTGTTAGACCTGGGGAGTGGATGTGGAGCTACAGCAATTGCTGCTCAGATGAGTGGGGCATTGAGGATCTTGGCCAACGACATAGACCCTGGTGAGAATTTTCTATTTAAAAATGTGTGATGCTCATCTTCTTATTCGCTCAGGATAAATATGTACAGATGCTTAGTGTGAGAGTTTATAGCCGTGTGTGTTTTGTAATCAGCTATTGTGAGCCTTTGTCTGTGTCCCACATTGTCTGTGGGAGTTATTATCTGAGGCCTGAACTGAGGCCTTTTTTCTAGGAAGATTCATATTTGTGTCTGCTGGGCCTTCTGGAGGGACACCAACCTGGGAGTGTTTACGTTAGTTTCTGAGGTAGGGGATTCCCTAAAATGTAGAATTAGTGTTTAATTGACCCAAATGAGGCAAGACCTGTATCACTGGGAGAGATTTTTATTCATTAGGACCCAAGTTGGAACAAATAGACTTCTATTTTATCTCATTTTCTTCTGGTCCACCCTTACACTGCAGATGCAGCCCTCGAGAGCACTTGCTTCATGTGGAAGTCTCGGTTCTAACCTGTTGCCTTGCATACACCTCAGGCTTGTTTCCTTGTCCACAGTAAAAAAAAAAGGCGAATCAAAACAAAAAAACCCACCACCAACAAAAAACCTACAAACATCCTAGGTATTGTTACCAGTAAATGTTCTAAAACCCCAACATTTCCAGATGTTCTGTATTGTTTTGTTTTCAGAATAGCTAGTCGTATATTTGGAGATAACAATATATAACTTATACTGGCATAAGATTTAGATTTCTTTACCAAAAAAGCCCATGTTTAACCAAAAGGAAATTAATATTGTAAGGTTTCTAAAATTACTTAAATTAATCAGTGCAGGATTAAAACAGCCTGTGGTATATGCTAATTACCAATTGTCATATGCTTTTGTGAAGTTGCAGGAATGGCTATCACACTAAACTGTGAACTGAATCACCTCAGTCCTTTTCCTATTTTAACCAAAAACATGCTAAATCTGAAGCAAGATCAGTGGGACCTTGTTGTCGTTGGAGATATGCTTTATGACGAAGCCCTGGCCGACAGTCTTCATGGGTGGCTGAGGAAGTGCGTTCGGACCTTCGGAACTCAAGTACTCATAGGTGACCCTGGGCGGTCCCCATGCAGTGGGCACAGCATTTGGCGTGAATTACACAAGGTGGTGGAATACTCCCTTCCAGAGGCCACCAGGCAGCAAAACAGTGGGCTGACAACAAGCGCAGTGTGGGATTTTCAACCTTGAGTTGTCAAAGCGCTTTTAATAGGAATATAGTTCTCTTTGGATTTAATCCCCAAAGTATTCTCCACTGGAGACACTCTTCCATTCAGTGGCAAATCTTATTTCCAAAATACAAAGGTTTAAAGTTTTGTCAGTCCACTTTTGTCACATGACCAGTCCTGCATTTCTAAGAATGCCAATTGTACAAATCTGTATCTGCAAATTTTTGTCTAATTTTACTGCTGTAGGGATGTGATTATGGAAGCAGTACCCAATGGTGGTAGCGTGTCATTCAAGCAGTGAGGAAGAATAGATATTATAGCAGGATCTGTCTCTGTAGTTGAGGACACTTTCGGTGCATGTCCCCACCTCCTCACTTTGGTATAGGAGAGTAAAGCCAGGCCCTCATGGGTGCTTGGCAAGTGCGATACCACTGACCTACATCCCTCATCCAATGGTGTATCTTTGAATTAAACAAACAACTATAAAATATAGAATACTAGATTGTTTTTTATGGTACTAGGGATTGAACTCAAGGCCTGTTACTGAGCTACATTCCAGGTTCACGGTCCCTCTGTTTTATTTTTTTCTGAGAAAGGATCTCGTTAAGTCACTATATTGTCCAGCCTGGGCTCAAATGTGTGATCCTCTTGTCTCAGCCTTCCAGAGTACTGAGATTATAGGTGTGCACCACCATGCCTGACAGAATACTGCTGATTTTATTTTATTTTTTTAAATATGGTATAGAGTACTTAAGAGTATGAGACAGCTCTCACTTTGTAGCTGAGATTTTAGGTTGGTTAAGCTTTCCAAGTTTAATTTATGTATAAAATAGTGATGAAATTGAACAGATCTTATCTCAATGGTTATTGTCAATCAACATACAATGCATCTAAGAGAGTACTTAGTACAGGCAGGGCCTCAACAACACTAACCACAAGAGGTCCTGGTACTTAATAAGTACCTGCACATAATGAGTGTTCACACATTTTAGCTGATACTAGTTGCTAGCACATGACTTCTTTGTTCTAAAACTCCACCATTGCTCCTAGTGACTACAGAGTAAAGTCCATGAAAGTACCATTAAATCTCTCCCCAGGTGGATCTTGGTGTACTTTTCTGTTCTTATCATACTTGCCCCTCACCCACCAAAATTTTTGCAACACTTGTTCCCCATACCCTCCTACCTCAGTGCCTTTGTTCATGCGCTTCCCTCTTTTAGGAACTGCCCTAGTCTCACTACTTCAGGCTGCCTTGCTACTCCCCTCCTCCCAAATGTACTTCTGTGGCTCAGGGTACATTTAAGCTCCTCTGTAGCCTGGAGCAGACTGGAATTAATCCTGCCCCCTTGATGCCACCATAGCACTTCATATTTAGCTATGGTTAGTGCACATTTTATCCAAATTACAGAAATACACTGCCATGTCTTTCTTTCCTACTAGACAAAACCCACATGTTCCGCATGTCTTTGCACATTCCTAAGCCCCTGACCCAGTGTCTCATAAATGGAAGCCCAAGGAAAACTATTTGGTGAGATAATTCTTTACCTGAAGGAAATAACTTAAACAGATCATACCTGACATGGACTGTTTCCTCTCACAATGCTTAACTGACCTCTAATCTGCTTGCATCTCCTCAGTAGACTGTGTGACCTGTAGAGTTGGATGGAGGGGGTTTCCTGCCCAATGGCTGGGATTACTTATACCAGTGGCAATGAACCTATGGCACACATGCCACAGCTGGCTGCTCCTTATCATTGAAAGCCCTAAAAGGTTCACCATCCCTCACTTATACTGTACACTATATAGTACAGCCAGTATTTATGACTCTGTACAAAGCTAGAATTTATTTGCAACTCCAGAAGCACAGTTCAAGATGCTTTCATGATCATTCATGGTTATGTAAAGTGGGGACAAACCAGAGTTGCCTTGTACATGTTTCTGCTCAGGAGGAATAGGCCAGGCTCGGCTGCCATCTTGTTTCAGCTCAGCCCTAATGAAGTGTCCTTTCCACAGTCTATATCATGCCATGTTTTCACATTTTGTGCTGTTTGTTGAAGACTGTGCTGTTTAAAATGAATGCAGCAAGGAGCTGCATGTGGTGGCACATACCTGTAATCCCACCATGCAAGAAACTGAGGCAGAAGAATGGCCACCAGCCAAGGCCAACCTGGAATACATAGTGAGTTCAAGACCAGCCTGAACCAAATAGTGAGACCCTGTCTCTAAAAAATAAAACAATAAAATGGTCCCTAAGCAGCATATGGGCTTGGTTAGTGTCCTGAGGTAAGAAGGGTCTAAGAAAAGTCAGGGTCAAGTCATTCAGGCCTGTGTTACGTACACTGTGGTTAGTCATGAGGTCAATGTTAGTGATTCTATCTTAGTTACTCTTCTCATTGCTGAGACAAAATACCTAATGCCCAAAGTTAAGGGAGGAGAAATTTAGCTCACAATTTGTGGAGGTTTCAGTCCATAATCAGCTGCCTTCACTGCAGAGTGGCATGGCAGAGGGGCAACAGTTCATGGTGCCAGAAGAAGACACAAAAGCAGTAAGAGCAAAAAGAGGAGAAGCAAGCCTCTGTTCTTCCCTTCTGTTGTATGCAGCCTACCCACCCTAGATTAGGTGCAGTACTCACACCACTAATCCCAACAGTAGACAATGAACCAATCAGAAACTCTAGATTCAGCCACCTTGAAGCAGCCTGCCCCCTATAACCACATGAGACTTTGTAGTGACATCCAATCATAAATCATGGCAGTGCCTACACTGAAACACACATAAAACAAGGTTATGTGTTGGTCAGTGGATAGAAAGGTTGTGAAAAGAGGCTGAGTGGAGCCTAACTCTGTATGTCCCCTAGGAAAAGTAATTCAGGGTTCACGGTGATTCTACACCTAAAACTACCATAAAACACAAGATCCACCGATAAACCGTGCAATCACCCATCAACATACACTTATTTTAGTCAGCTCTCCCTTCTGAAAATAGAGTCGGGCCACAAAGTAAGAAACAAAAATCACCCACTCTAACACTCTGGAATCGCTCACAGTCTTTCAAGAGTTTCCTGCTCTCTTGGCTGCCATGGAGAAGAAACAAAAGCAGTCAGTAGACCAGGAGTGCTGTGGTGCAGTGGAGGGGCGTCACTGTTTTCTCTTTTGAGAAATCTACTGTTTGAAGCCTGCCTTATTATTTCCTGACTCATTCTTGCTTTTTAACTATCTCAATTAGGTAAAATGCCTTAAAAAGGAGTATTTAGTGCAAGGCCTCAGGCAAGATCTCTGTAGACAACAGTATATATTAAGCTTGACATGACTATAGCCATGTTGATCATAACCACCATTTTGCCCACTGGGTCACCCCAACTTAAATTCCAAACCCTACAGGATAAACAAAGGCATTAAGATAGCTAGGCCATCCATTGACACCAAGGCTTTCTGACACTGGACATAGGAATAATTTTGTCATTTGCAATGCTGGGAATCAAACCCTTGGTCCTATGCACGCTGGGTAAGTGTTCTACCATTGAGCCACAGCTCCAGCCCACAAGTAATTTTTATTAGAAAGCCCATGTTCACTGCAGTTGGCTGTACCCCACCTTTGTCTAAATTAGCATATAAACCCTTCCTCCTGCCTCAAATTATGGAGATCCTCAAATTTTACTGTCACCCAATATAAGCTTCTGTCCAAAATTCCCAAATAAATTGTGTTGTACCATCTTGGATTTTTTTCTGCCTTATTCTTCATATTCTTGGCACTTTCTGCCATTGGCAGCTGGTTCTCATATACCAAGTTTTCTTGGAACAACCTAAAAACAGCCCCAAAGCCCACTTTTCTAAGCAAGTGATGCATTCTGTAATTTGTAAAAATTTATAAGAAGTAAGACAATTTAAATAATACCAAATCATCCTAAACCTTCGAAAATGCATTTCCCTTGAAATTCAGAAATCACATTTCCCTTGCCCAAAGTTAACCTTGAGGAGAAAATGGCTTCTGGGCATCAATGTATAGCTCTTTCCCCATTTATGACAAACCTGCTACCAACATCATCTTAAATGAGGAGAAGCTGAAAGCATTCTCTCTACAATAAACAAGACAAGAATGCCCATTACCACTGTAGGGGTGTAATCTGGATCCAGGTCACACTAAGTCAAAGAATGAAATCAAGAACATGGGGCTGGGGATTTAGCTCAATGGCACAGCGCCTGCCCAGCAAGCACAAGGTCGTGAGTTCAATTTCTGGTACTGGAAAAAAAAAAAAAAAGAAATCAAGAACAAGGGAGGTAGACAGGAGGAATGTTTATTAAGAAGAGAGAAATAGCTCCCCATAGTCAGGAAGGGACCTGAAAATGGGTTGTTATGGGGACTCTTTGTCTATAAGTTTTCATACCAAAAATAAAATAAAAAAAAAGACAAGACCAGGGCTCAGACCACTTTCAGTTAAACTGTGGAGTATAGGTCAGCCTACAGAACTAAATCAAAAGTAGAAATAGGCCTATGAGGTGTCGAGGCACATAGCAAGCTTATGTCTGCAGGTGCTTCTTGGCCTCTGTGTTTTTTAAGTGGTTTATCAAAAGAAAAAAGTGAGAGGGGGAAAAATATTTTCCAGAGAGGTAGGAGCAGAAGTTGTTACAGTGATCATCTACCACCTTGCTTGTTACATTTTTGGTCCAACTGGTTTTTGTTAACTCTTAACCTCAGGCTTCTGCTTATCTCTCCAAGGTCTGGTCATTTTTACTTTATCATGGACCCAATGCCTCTCTAGCTGCCTAACATGTCTGTTTATATCACCAGTCCTGTTCAATATAATGCTTGAAATATTAGCCACAGCAATCAGGCAAGAGAAAGAAATAAAAAGGATATGTATAGGGAAGGAAGAAGTCAAATTATCATCATTTGTAGATGACATGATTCTCTACAGAGAAGACCCAAAAAATTCTTGAAAAGACTCCTAGAATTAGTAACCAAATTCAGCAGTGTAGCAGGATATAAAATCAACACACAAAAATGAATAGCATTCCTGGACACCAATAATGAACTCACTGATAAAGAAATTAGCAAATCAATTCCATTCACAATAGCATCAAGAAGTATTAAATATTAGGAATTAATCTTACCAAGGAAATGAAAGACTTCTACAATAAAAAACTACAGTGCTCTGAAAAAGGGGATTGAAGAGAACATCAGAAAATGGAAAGGTATCCCCTGTTCCTGGATAGGCAGAACCAATATTGTCAAAATGGCCAGACTTTCAAATTGATATATAGATTTAAGGCAATCCCAATCACCATGCCAATAATATTCCTCAAGAACTAGAGAAAACAATCCTAAAATTCATGTGGAATCATCGGAGACCCAGAATAGCAAAAGCAATGCTGGGCAACAAGAGGAAAGCAGGAAATATCACCATCTTGGACTTCAAGCTATATTACAAACCCATAGTGATGAAAACAGCATGGTACTGACACCAAAAGAGACACATGGGTGAATGAAATGGAAGAGAGGACCAAGAAACAACCCCAGGCAATTCAGCCATCTGGTCTTTGACAAAGAGGCCAAAAACATGCACTGAGGAAAGATAGCCACTATAACAGATGATGCTGGGAAAGCGGGCTAACCACATGCATAATATTTAATCTAGAGTTCCAGACCCATATTTCTCACCATGTACTAAACTAAAATCAAAATGGGTCAAACATCTAAATATTAAAACAAACAATCTGCTGGAAGATTAAAAAGGAGATCAGACTTTTGAAGACAGGCATAGATAAGGACTTTATGAACAAAACCTCAAATGCACAAAAAATAACAACAAAAATCAAAAAATGCAATTTACCAAATTAAAAAGCTTCTGCACAGCAAAGGCAACAACAACGTGAAAAAGTAACTTGCAAAATAGGAAAATAATTTTGCCATTTATTCTTCAGGCAGAGGACTAATATCTAGAGATATAGAGAACTCAAAACAAATTAGATCCCCCAAGTAAAGGAGCCACTAAAAAATGGGCAGGCAAGCTGAATAGATGCTTTTAGGGAAAAGTACTACAAGTGACCAGTAAATACACTAAAAAATGTTCAACATCTCTGGCCATTAGAAAAATGCAAAATAAAACAATGCTGAGACTCCATCTTACTCCAAAAAGAATGGCTATCATCAAGAAATCAAAGAATAACAAATACTGGCAAGGTTATGGAGAAAAATAAGCCCTTCTACATTGTTGGTGGGAATGTAAACTATTACAGCTATTATGGAGATTCTTCAAAAAACTAAAAATAGAAATTCCATTTGACCCAGCTGTTCCCCTTCTATGTATCTTCTTGGAAAAATTAAAAACATCATATTAACAATGATGCATGCGTACCCATGTTTATAGCAGCACAGTTCACAATAACTAAATATTGGAAGCAACCTAAATGTCCACCAACAGACAAATAAATAAAATGTGGTATTTATGCACAATGGGGTACTACTGTGTCATAAAGAAGAATAAACTTTGTCCTTGTAGGACACTGGATGCATTTTGATACCATAATGTTAAGTGAAATAAATCAGACACACAAATTTAAATATCACATGTTTTCTCTTATAGGAGAAACCCCAAATAATATAAAGAGCAAAATAAAAGGTAAATAATAGGAATTAAGGTAATAGATCTTTTGCGAAAGGGAAGGAAACTGAGAGATTGAGACAGAGGGAGGGAGAGAAGGGGAAAGAGATAAAAAAAAGTATTATGATATGTTTTGCACCAAATCTCCACAAAGGATGTAATCATTATGTACTGCAAACATGAACTAATAAAAAAAAAAATGAAAAAAGTGATTTCCTTGCTTCAGGAATCCCATGCTCAAAACCAGAAGCATGAATGGAGTTCTATCCTGTGTCTTTTTTTTTTTTTATTTTAAAGAGTAAAAGAAGGATAACATAATAATGGGGGGCGTTTACCAAATTACAGACAAAGTGGTAGGAAATTATCAATGGTTGTTGTTTTACATATTGTTATCTACAAGATAGTTTCTCAGGAAAACAAATAGACAAATAATAGTGAGTTATAGACAAAAGAGGTAGGAGATTATCAATAGTTGTTGTACTATACTTTGGAATCTTTAAAGTGGCTTCTAAAGAAAATAAATAGAGCTA